TGAAGAATCTGCTAAAATTGATGTTGAAGGGAAATTACAATTAGGTTATAAGCAATCCCCCATCAAAGCTATATTTCAGAAACAGAACCCAAAAAACCCCAAAACGCAAGATGATAGATTCCAAGAACCTCAAAAGTGCAAGATCATAATTTAAACCAGATAATACTTTATGTGAAATCAGAAAACAAAACCTCAAATTGAAAACCCTAAACCCCATATCACATTAACAATCTGCATAGGAGAAACAAGAGACAAGAAATTCAAAAAATCGAACCCTCAACCCCAAACGAAAACCCTAAATTTAAGATCACGAAGAACCTCAACCATTATGCCACCAACCTGTAGAGAAAACAAAACAAAAATACAATCTAAGAAAGGAAACCCAACATCGCGAGATCGGAATCCCAAAAATAGAACCCCAATTTAGAGCCCTAATACAAACAGAACTAGAACAAGAAGAAGGCAAGAAGAAATGTTCATTTTTCTTGTAGAGATATTATGATGTTATCAAGCACTTTGTCACGTTTTCTCCTTGCGTTCTTATGATACCATATGCATTCTAATGTATTGACAAATACCAATTGATTAAGAAATTTTAGAAAACCACATTATAAATGTTTTAGTGCAATCATTTTTGAAGTATCACATCTTTATTAGTAAGCATTTTCCCTTTTATTAGTGTAGGTAAGTGTGTTTCTTTCTACAAATACTGGTGATTGTATTATGTAGATTTACGATGCCAACCTAGAAACATAGGAAAGGAAGGAGGAGGGTGTCTCCTTGCGTGACAAGGAACCCATGTTGTTGGGTTTGTTCAAGAAAAAGAAAGTTCCGAAAATGGAGTCAAGAGTTTCTAAAACTTTGTTTAAAGTAAAGGGTAATTGACCTCAGTGTATCACGCAATCAATAACTGGACATGTCATTCAGTTTTAGTCAGGGGACAATTACACCGTTAAAATTTTTAACGCTGTAAGCAAAAAGGATCAACTTGAGCCGTTTCTACAAAATATGGGACGTCTATGAATATCTGAAAAAAGATAAGATCACTTTGAACAAAGAATAAAATAGATATTAAATCTAAATTTAAACTCATTTTCAATTGATAAGCCAATATGGGCCATCCCATTTTAGGCATACTTATTTTGGATAACAAGCTTAATTAACCCATTTTGCTACCTTTATTCCGTACATGTTGTTTTTATTTTCTTTTTACTTTTTTTTTATTAAAGATACATTTCGATTCTACCGTCTAAAATACATTTTTTATTTTGTATTTTTGTATCTCATATCTTATAATTTAAAATGATTTTCTTATTTTACATTATGAATTATATAAATCTAAATATAAATTTTATATTTTAGATTGTGTATTTTGAGATTTATTTTTTATTTATCAAAATATAAATTTTATAATTTAAATTATAGATATTTCAAAATTTAAAACGAAAAGATAAGAAAATAAAAAATTTTAAATATGTAAAAGTGCGTATTCGAATGCAAGTATTTTACTGTTGAAGAGATTTATCGAAGACGGATCAACAATGAGATATCATGTTCGGTTTGAGACATTTGGAAGTGACACCAGTGATCATTTGCAGGAGGATAACTTTTTGTATCATTAGTCATTCCTCATATTTATAGTAATTTAAGACTAAATTTTGTTTTTACCCTTATTCAATTTTTGTAATTTTAATTTTTGACGTTGAAAATCTAAATACATGAACTAGTATAATAGATTCCAATTCCAGATAGTATATTCAATTTCATGTATTAGTTTCATTAATAATAATAATAAGCATAAATAATAAAATAAAGTAATTATCATAATAATAATATTAAATAATAATAAAAGGAATAAATGGTAGAGTACATCCATGCACTAGAGTATAAATAATAATTATATCACTACCGTCTAAATTAATGATTTTTCAACAAAAATATTTGAATTTTTTATAAAATATTAATTATTTTAATTTTATTTATTATAAACAATTTTTATCAAATAATATCTTATTTATAAATATCTATTATTATTACCATTAATAGCAATTTAGTACTTTATTTTCTATCCATTAAAACATTTTTTAATTTATCATATCTGTTAAATTTCACAAAATCTTTATTTTATTAATTAAAACATTTTTTAATTTATTATATTCCTTAAATTTTATACAAACTTTACTTTCAAATTCACATTTAATCACTTGCAAATCTCTTAAAAAAGAAATACATAATTTATTCTCAAATCTCCTCAAATTTAAGCATAGGTTAAAAGGAAGTATAACAGATTCACAAAGGCTTGTTCCCCAATTGTTATCAATTAGACATTGAAATGCAAGCAAATTGAAATGGTATGTGATAGACTAACATATATGGAAAACTAAAAAGCAAAATCAAACCACTCACCCGATAATTTAGCTTGAGATACATTCTGGGTAACAAATATATTAGCTCTTTAAGCAACTTCCATGCTCTTATATATATTGACCAAGTTGTCCATATGAGGAGCAGACGAACCTCTTTACAAAAAATGAATTATAAGTTGTGTCTTTACGAAGTTGTCCACATAAGCAGTTCTTTAGCAAAAGTAACTAAAACGGACTCACAATGTTTCTCACTAAATGAATTCTATAATAACAATATTAAGAGCTTTCTTGTTAAAACATACTGAAAAAAGTTCATTCGACGATTAATTAAAAACAAAATAAAATGCTCAATTAGGGTTGAGCAAGAAAGTGAGGGTAAGAAACGTACCTCGACGAGTGAACGAGATTTTACATATAGGACAAGCAGAGACCGATTTCATGGGCTTTACAATACACGAGCTTAATGCAAAGTAAAATTAGGTTTCAAGACGTTTAGAGTTTCAACGAATGTGTTTTGTGTTCTGGGACGAGAAAAAGAAATGTTGTGCGGACAAGATTGGAAAAATGAAATGGAGATGAGAGAAGGAAATGTTGTGTGGGACGAGATTGGAAGAACTGAAATGGGACGAGAGGAAGACGTTGTGCGCTCTGGACGAGAGAAAGATATTGCCTTTTGGGACGACCAAAATGAAAAAAGTAAAATGAAAGAGGGGTTTTGCACCTACTATGATAGGTGTTTTAATATCTATCATAATATGTTTTCCCTATAATTTCCATTTTGCCACCGCGTCCAACATATTATGATAGGTGACTTTTACCTGTCATAATATATGTAACTTTTATTACGAAAATGCCACTACTACTCCTATTATGATAGGTTTTTTAAAATACGTCATAATATATCTTAATTTTATTACAAAATTGTCACCGGTCAATGTATTATGATAGATGAACTTCACCTATCATAATAGTGTGTCATGAAATCCTTTTTTTCTACTAGTGTTTATTCACTCTTTCTCCTAAATTATTTTCCTATATGAACGCACCCTGTTAATTGATCAACAATTATGTTTTCAAAAACATATTGAACAAAATATGTTTTTTTATTGTGATTAATTTATTTCATTTAGTATTGATGGGAGAATATGTAAATCAAATTTGAGTAAGTTGTTTCTATACTTGATTCATTTGATTACAATTTTTTAAGTTAAATTTATTTTATAAAATAAAATGTAAACTTCTTTTTTCATTTTTTTTGGTCAACTTCTTAACCAGAACCTACTCCAAAGGTTTGGTTACAGGGTGAACCAAATTAGAAAGGACTGATTGATATTAAAACGTAAAAAATTACTTATATAGAAACAAAAACTATCAATTTTACTATGCCAAAATATCAAATTTTTTTAATGAAAAAAAATCCAAAATGAAACTAAAAGTACTTATATAAGAACTAAAGTGAAAAGATTTTGTAGCGTGGAAGTAATAGATCAATTTTATATAATTGTAGAGAAAAACATAAAATCAACGTTAATATATAGAGACTAACACGTCATAGAAGTAGCTATTATTATTAATTAAAAGAACTTTTCTTCCATTGCTTTTATTTATTGTTAAAATTGTTACATATAAATAAAAAGAAATTAATCTCTTTATATTATTAATTCGTAATACCTTATTGTATGAATTTAATTTCTTATTTACTCTTTTCATATTTAACAAACTAATAATTTCCTTATTAAAAAACGATTTCTTCTTAAATTTTAAACAACATATTGATAAAACTATTTTTCATTTAAAACGTAAAAGCAATACTGCTATATTCATACTATAGTTTTCCCTCCACCGTACCCAAATTGTTTAACTATTTTCATCATTAGTATAATAATTGAGGACTTCACAGTTCAAATAATTGAAAATAAAAAAGTTGAAAGGAAAAATGTATCGTAATAATTAATGTTCTTATGGCAATGATTGTTCCTTTTTAAGTTTTTTTTTGGGGGAAAAAGGATTGGAACTCTTTGTTATCTGTCATTGTCTAGGCACGACTTTATTGTTCATTTAATTTTGAAGCAGAAGAAAAAAATCTACTGGTCCCGATTATATAAAACATTGCGTTAAATTAATTGAATAAATTAAAAATATATAATGTATTCAACACTTTATATTTAAGAAGTATAAAAATCAGAATTATTATGAAATGAAAATGTCCACAAATAGAAATTGCAGTATAATTGTGGTTGTGAGTTTGTGGGTTCCAAATGGAAAGAATACTTTGTGAGGGTAAGACAGCTAGAAAACCGAAAGCAAGTGGCGGGTGGCGGGTGGTTCAACACGGAATGAAAGTACATTAAATAGAAACAATAATACATGAAATAAAAATAGTTGGTACATAGTTAGTTATATACACATAACTTAGATATAAAAAAATGTTTAATTTTGGATATAAATTAAATAAATATAAAAGATAGGCAAATATTTTACCACTATTTCTTTGGTTTACCAGCGTGTTCGTAATAAATAATAAAATTATTATATTACATGGTATTTCATTTTTTATGAGAATTGGTAAACGCTAGGAAAGGTAGCGTGTGTTTCTTTAGAAAAATAATAAACTTAAGGAAAAGTCTGGATATGAATTTTCTTTCTCGTGCATAAATAGAGGACATACATGCCGAAACAGCTATGCTTATCTATAGTTTCATTTGGCTAGAAAAGGCTGTGCCTCATTTATCAAACCCTTTCTCTCTCTTAACTCGAGATCTGAACTCACTCTGATGGAGCAAAGTAAGGAGGTAAGTACTGTTTTCTCTCTAAACGCGTGCGTTTTGCCCTCAGACGATGTAGTGTTTTACGGCTAAGAACCGCAAGGAACAAACTAAATAATCCAACGGAATGAACGATTCCCGTGGTTCCTCCGAATCGATGCTTCCCTGTGTTTTATTTTGTTGCGATTCCTCTTCGTGAGAATTGCGAGCTTCTACCTGAAAACCTTTGAACCACGAACACCTAGTTCATCTTGTTCGATTTTTTATTTGTTCTGGTCGTTGAAAATCATGTGCATATTTTGATTTAGCTGTGTTTGTTGTTTTTCTTGCTTGTGCTATCTATTGGATGTTTTGTTGCGCTTCGTGCATAGACGCGACTATGATTATAAGTGATAATATTCTTTCGCTTCAAACTTTGTTTTATTTAACTTTTCGATTTGTTTTGTGTTTAAAGTTTATATGATGATATTAGTGTTGGCACCAGCAATTGTAAATCCCTTTCTGAATCATGTGGATCATGAGATGGAAGAGGACTTGTTTTTTTTTTCTTAATTTTTACAGCAGCCGTGAAACTGCATATCTTTGTTTTTCGTTATTTGGCTCTTGTATGAATATGATGAGTCTTTTTTTATCTTGAAAAATCTTTCTAATGTTAGTGCCACTGTGAGATTGCTGCCTGTGACTTGTGTTCACAGTCAGAAACAGCTTTCTTCTGAGTGCTGAGTGTCGTGCGCTTAGGGGTCATTTTTAAAGGAAATTATTAAATGCTATTTTTTGCTTAAAATGGATGCTAGTTAATAAACTTTGCCTCTACATTTGCATTAATAGATGCTTGTAATGGTTATTTTGGACTGGAGTAAAAACAAGTGCTTTGTAAAACCGTTTTATTGTGTCATAATTTATTTTTTTGTTATCATTTTTATTATTATGAAGAAAGATAGTTTTGTTATGGTGATCAACCATCTAACCTATAAATCTTTTCACTTCACTGTAGAAAAATGCTCCCTGGTTATCAGTGCCACAGTTTGGGGACTGGGATCAGAAGGGACAAGTGCCAGACTACTCTCTGGATTTCTCTAAAATTCGGGAAATGAGGAAGCAAAACAAGACAAATATTTCAAGGGCAAGTCTTGGTAATGAAGAGGAACTGATGGCTTCTTCTACCAATAACACTACAAACACTGTCCACAGTGATGAACACCAGCACCAGCATCCTCACTACCACCAAACCAGCTCTCCAACTGTAAGATTCCTCACGAGCTTTGTCATTCATTATGTTATTAGCTATAACTTTTTTACGGTCTTAGCTACTAATTTTAAAATTTTCCTAAAAATTTATTCAATCATGGTGAAGTAGTCACCATTGCTACCCACTAGAGTACCTGTAGGTTTTCTTTTTTCAGAAAGATTGGTGGGTAGTTATTGTGGGAACATAATTCACATTGATTCCTGCAATAATTGACAGCTTAGGGAATGACTGTCTCATGCATCTTTTACTTAACAGGTGCAGTGAGAATATTTGAAATAAGGAAAAGTTTTAAACACACTGATCACCTGTTTTCGTCCACCAAGGCATTGATCGAGTCAAGTTTTTAATTAAAATAACATTTTATTGTCATATGAGCTGATATTTAGACAACTCCTTATCAAATTTTTCCTTTCTCTTCCTTTACAAATCATCTACACTAATATCTATTTTATTTCATTATGTAAGATTCCTCTTTTCCAGTTAATTCATTTTTTTTCTTTTTGGAAATATCAGTGTTAAAGAAACTAGCCTCAAATCTTCATTGGTTTGAATTAAAAAACAAATAAGGAATAAATTGAACTTGACATTTCAATCGTCTGTCTGCCCCCTTTAATACCAAAATATATTTGGAAAAAGGATGAAAAACAAAAGAATTCAATTAACTAAATAATGTTTTAGGCAAGCGAAACACAAAATTCTGTAGGGATCAACATTTCTAGCAACCGTACAGTATATTTGTGTAATATTGATCTTGATTTGAAGAGAATAGAGAGATAAAGGGAGAAGAATAGTAAGTGGAAACATTTTATCAAAGAAAAATGGAAAACAAAGACAAATACAACACGACATGACACCTCTTGCCAAGTAAGTTATAGTAACATAAGAAAACAACAAAGCTCACTAAGGCCGCCCGGTTAATGACAAATTTTCGTTGTAATCCATCTGCTTCTTTAGCGAAAGTGGGTACCGGAAGCTTATATACTAATATTTTTCAACCCAAAGGAAAACAAGATATATTAGATTATATATTACACGGAATTATATTTTGATACCCGAGATGATCTTCTTCCTTTTTAAACTAATGCTTTTCACTAATTCGAGTGGGCGGTGGTTAGGTTGAAAAGAATGTAAACGTTAATATTTATATGTGTAGATATATATTCTATTTGCTAAGGCAACACGCAATTCTAGTTACTGCACATGGGATGAATGTCTGGGGCAGTTGCATTCATTTCGTTGGTAAGAGGGCTATAAATTATGGTGATTATTTATTGATTAAATAAAATAGTTGAACTTTGAGGTCGTAATCATTTCGTAGATACTCTAAACATTGGACTAGGAGATATGTGGTGTCTAAATATTGCATATTTCTATGGTTTTTTTCCCTGACAGACGAGGAGGAGCTTCCTGAGCTACTTCAACTGTTGCGTAAAAGCTTGATGCTGCTGGGAATCTAGAAGCTTTCTTGTCTGCCTAAGGCCATGGACAGGGACAAAAGTATGGTTTTGCCCTTGGTGATTATTTACCTCGCACTTGTTTTTGATTTAGGAAATCAACCCCTTTTTAAGCCTTAATCTTCAGTAGGCGATTCTATATTACTTGCATCTTAGTTTAAAATTTGTGTATCCAATTAGAGTTCAAGATGGTAAGCATGTAAATGACGCTCAAAGTACTTTCAATCCTGTACCACCGGTCCAAAATATGATGATGAATTAATCCAGCATAGCAATGTTGTTGACCTTGAAATTTTCATTGCTCAATTAGTTCATTATTCAGTCAGCAGTTGAATTCTGAAATATCTGCAATCATTTTCAAACTAAGATATATTATGTTTACTGTTATTTTTCCTGGTTGGTTTCGTGTATTTGACGTCTATCCACTTGGACCACGCACACTGTAGTTGTATGCAAGTTCATGTTTGTTTTACCTCAGTTACAAATTTTAAAGCAATCTTCTTTTAACGGTTTTTCCATTTGAGAATTGTATGTTTTCTTTCGTCGCTTTTGTCTTGAGAAAGGAAAAAATAAAGTTTGATTGAACGTGGTTACAAGAAAAACAAATATACCCTCAATTATTAAATAGATCAGTATAACATTGCTTGCCTTCTACTCTGTCAGTGATTATAAACTATTCTCAATACTCCTGTGATGTTAAAGCGATGAAGTCAAAGCGCAATTTATATATATATATATATATATATATATATATATATATATATATATATGTTTTAAAAATAA